TAATGGATGCCCTGCAACACACTCGAGGCAGGTTGTTGGCTGGAGAACTGACGGTGACATGTATGGAAGGAGATGTTATGGGATGTGGAGAAGGTGAAACGAAGAAGGGAAGAGAAGAAGCTGATAGACCAATCAGAGTGTGTTCGAGAAATGGGGCCACTCTTGGGAAGGATGCGCCTGCGCCACACGTTTTGTTGGCGTGCAGTGATGTTGCCGCACTGAAATCTCACCACGTGCGTCACAACTTCCGCTGCGTGCTTGCCAGCAAAGCACCTTCGGTCGGACCAGAATCTTCTGTACTGCCTATGACGACGCAAATTTTTAAAAATTTCGTTGTTGACGCAAACTCTCGACAAATGGTCAGGCTGGTCGCGGACTGTTTTTCCCATATAATTTCATATATCAAAGAGATAATGGGACCGGTGTTACTGAACGCGGACCATCATGGAGCGGAAAAAAAATGTGAATATTGCAGGAAAGGACTTGACATCGATGAGCGCTTGAAAACTCTGTACAGAAGATGTCAAATTGTGGCAGCGCGGGTCGTCAGGGAAGCGTGATCTTTCTCTCTCTCTCTATCTATCTATCTATCTATCTATCTATCTATCTATCTATCTATCTATCTATCTGTGTGTACCTATGTCTGGTTTTCACATACTTGAGGTTGGTTAGTGGGCCTCAACACTGAATGGCCCTCTGTCGGCGCATGTCTATTTGTCCGACAGCACGAAGTTGTCCCCCTTGCAGGCCAATTCTGGTCTCGGATGTCATGTTCGGCGTCGTGTTGCATCGCTGACTGGTGAACGTGTCGATTGTGCAAGTGTTGTTTTCCAAGCTGCAAGAGGTTGACTACTACATGCCATGACTGTGTGTACCATTGGTGGTTGTTGTCCCATTGGCCCGCAGTAGCCAACCTGTCTGTCTGTCCAGTGTATGTATGCCTGTCTGCGCGAGGCTAACTACTGCGGGCCATGTAAGTGTACACCGCTGCTGGTTGTTGTCGTTCTGGCCAGCAGTAATCAACCTGTCGCTGGTGCCACATGTTTTTCTGTTTTTTCAGCTGGGTGAGGTTGACTGCTGCGTGTCATGTCAATGTGTACCGATGCTGGTTGTTGTCCCGATGGCCCGCAGTAGCCAACCGCCCTCTAACGCAGTGTATCTCTTCCTGTATGGGCGAGGTTGACTACTGCGGGCCATGTAAGTGTACACCGCTGCTGGTTGTTCTCGTTCTGGCCCGCAGTAGTCAACCTGTCACTGGTGCCACATTTTTTTCTGTTTACCCAGGTGGGTGAGGTTGACTACTGCGTGTCATGTCAGTCTGTACCGATGCTGGTTGTTGTCCCAATGGCCCGCCGCCGACTACATCCGGAACGCATTGTATGTTTGCCTGTATGGGCGAGGTTGACTACTGCGGGCCATGTAAGTGTACACCGCTGCTGGTTGTTCTCGTTCTGGCCNTGCAGTGTATGTTTGCCTGTATGGGCGAGGTTGACTACTGCGGGCCATGTAAGTGTACACCGCTGCTGGTTGTTCTCGTTCTGGCCCGCAGTAGTTAACCTCGCGCTGGTGCCACATTTTTTATTTTTTTTTTCCAGCTGGGTGAGGTTGACTACTGCGTGCCATGTCAGTGTGTACCGATGCTTGTTGTTGTCCCAACGGCCCGCAGTAGCCAACCGCCATTTAACGCAGTGTATGTATGCCTGAGAGAGAGAGAGGTTGACTACTGCGGGCCATGTAAGTGCACACCGCTGCTGGTTCTTCTCGTTCTGGCCCGCAGACGTCAACCTCTTTCTCTCTCTCTCTCTCTCTCTCTCTCTCTCTCTCTCTCACTCACTCATAAGGGGGCCACGTCGCTGCTAGGGCTTCTCTAAAATGTATGTGATATGTCATGCAATAGATGGAGCCTGCGATTCAATCGAATGTCAACGGCGTGGAGACATGCGCGATGGAGACCCAGGACATTGTCAAAGGTATTGCAGTTGTCAGCAACGAAGGGATATCGGCCGGAGCAAACACCACAGACTGTGCAGTGGTCCTTGCGGCAATTTGTGAGCAGACTGCAGACATGATGACGGATGGTGAGGCCAGTGAGAATGATGCAGGGTGTGTTGTTGCAGACGAGAATGTGGTCAGGATGTCAGCAGGAACTCTCTTCCCCTATGACATCAATTGGGTCCCTGGTCGTCTTCAACTGGGTATCGTCGGAGGAGCGCCGTGCTTCGCGTTCAAAGTCAATGGGGAATGGGTTCCATATCCCGCCCCCAAAGCGACGTCGTGGAGGGGCGTGACTCTGTCAATCATCTTCGACAGAGTGCTGAGGTTGAACGATGAGGTGAGCGCTGACGACAAATTGCGGCATGTGTTGAAACTGTGGCATGTTCTGGACGCAAAGGGCGAGTTGAGGCTCAATGATTTTGAATACGACAGTGTCGACT